ATAGATAACGCAAATTTAGGGCAACTATATGTTTTATGAAGAATATCAATTTGGAATTCCTCCAGAATTATGGACTATCTTAACCTAAAAATATCATGAAATCATTATTTTCTGGAAATGGTAAATCATGAGAAATTCAAGTTCATATTATTTATTAATTACATTGCACAACATATTCTACAAACTGAATCATACTTTAAAAACAGACAGAAGTATATCAATTCTTATACTTTTTATAAATAAATAATAATTATCTCTAAAAATTAAAATTCCTCAATATGAACTTTTTATACTTCAATTGTAAATTAATAATGCTATTATTTAAAAGCTTTCCATCTAATGAAATGCTTATATATTTTGAACTTTAGCTGCTAATCTTTACTTTAGAATTTTAAAGTCTCATTCTTAGTAATATATTCAAAATACATGCATAAATATTAGAAAAATATTGATAAATATTTCAATATTCAATATTGAAATAAATGATTTCAATTTTAAAAATTTTAAATATACACAATTTAAATTTTACTTATTACTGTAGAACAAAACAAATAAAATGATGTTAGTGTCAATAAAAACAGCCTAATACTATAATATATGCTTGATTTCGATGAGAATTTGCCATCATAATGTATGCTAAAAGATATATCTTGACCATAAATTAAAGTATCAGGTACATTCATTTCATATCAGTCCATCTTCCAGTATTAAACAGCAAGCAGATACCAGCATATACTATGATTTACTCAACTTGAAGTCAATTTCACCTAACATTCTCCTCACTAAACTTTCACAAAAACAAATTTCAAATTGAATTAATTTGATCTAAAAAAATATTTTTTAATATTTGATTGCAAAAAACAGCTGAACGTTTCCAATAAATTCATTAAAAACAAATTGCATTTCAATAGAAATGAATTTAAATTTCAAATATCTTATTCCACAATGAAATAACATATGTAATAGTTTTAATTTCAAACTTTCTCACATTATAAATTAAATATTTTTTTCTTTTTTTTATAACTACCTATTTATAAAAATTAATGATTATTCTTCATATATTACTTTATTAAGCCTTAATAAAAAAATAATTTCAGATGAATATTCATAATTAATTTTAAATGCTCATTATAACTTTTTCCATCACAGAATAAACTCTGTTGAACTTTAAAAAGCAATGCAATTCTAAAATATTATTATGTGTGTATGAGGACATTAAAAATGTACTTTAAATTATATGTTTAAAACAGAATTGATTTTAAAGTTTTAAATAAGAGAACAAACCACTTTGCTTAAATATTTCCTCTTTACCTAAATCTATTTAATAATTTCCTTATTTAAGATTATTATTTTTTAAAAATAGTAACAAACAATTCACGACATTTAAAACCACACCATCAACTTTATGTACGTATAAAAATCTCTAAATTTAATTGTCGATCCAACAAAATTTAAAATCAAATGATAAAAATATGTCAACATTCCTGTTGTCTTTCATTCTTTAATCATTCGAGAGGAAAAATTGAAATGACTTATCCACTCTGACAATCCGGACGCAACAAAATAATACCACATCTACATCTTCATCGTGGATGCTGAAAAATGGATAAACAAATGAATTATGTAATTCTAGATGTTCAATTTGATCCAACAAACACTGCATCGGGAAAGTGGCCGAATTCTAAAGGAAAATATCTTACCATTAACACATCTCTAGGTAATGGATTGTCATTTACATTTCATTTCAAGGATGAGTGCATCTCTTAATGGGTTCTTAGACAGTAAAATTTGGAGTAAGATTAATACTGACTTACTTTAAAGCTACATAACTATGGACCAATTTGAATCTATAGGGAGCGTGTCTTCTAGCCCACCGGTTCAGATTAATCAATTTTATCTTTAATTCTATCGCAAAAGTTTATTCAATGCAAATGAGCAATGAGTCACTTTAATGAAAAAAATGCACTATTAATCACACATTGTACAAATTTAAACACGAAGCCCATGCATACAGTCCATCCCAATTATCATTATAAACATAAATAATAATGAAATTTAATCTATCTAAAATGATAGATTAAATTTCTAAAGAAAATAATTAGTTAAACTCTTATTACTCAAACTTTAAATACATAATCAATATCTCATGAAGAAAGATTCCAATTTTAATAGTGATATTATAGCTTTAAAGTCCATAAAACTATCTTAAAAAGTAATTTTTAAAGTAAATTTTGTGTACTTTAATTCTTTATGCCAAAATAAAGATATAAAAATAACACAATGGAGTTATGGCTATTCCTAAAATGTTTAAGACCAACTTAAATGACTAAACATGACTATTCTCAAATGGTTAAGATCAAGTAAAATGAGTAAAGTTTTAAAGAAATAGCAAAAAAAGTAGCTATATTATAGCTTCAAGACAGTATACATAACAAAAATTGTAAATGGGTCCATTAAGCAATAAAACAAACATATTCCTTTACTCTTTTAATAAAACAAAATATTGAAAAATAAAATTCCAATGTGCAGATTTAATAAATTTAATTACTAAAGATATTAAAAATTTCAAAACAATTTAAAATTTGATCCCTTTTTGTTGACATTCACTTAAATATTTTAATAAATAAATAATCATATGCAATTTATTTATACCACTTCTACTAAAATTGAATTTCTTCGTCTCTACAGAGCTATTTCCAATTAATATCTTTAGATTTAAGCTAGTAATGTTTTTAACATGCTGTTTATCACACATGACTGTAGAAAAAGCATTAGGAAGTATTACTGATTAATAATGCATTTACCATATGTGATACTAATTCAAAAATACATCCTATTATTCATCTTTCAGGCATGAATAGAATATTTAATAAGATTATAAGTATATCTATCAAGATTTGTATCACTAATTAAAAGATTGGACAGCTAAATGTTAAAAACTGTAACTTTTAAAAACATTTATGACATAAATTTAAACATTATACACACATTAACAAAAATGTATTTATTTTAATATGAAAGCAAATCAATTTTAACAAATTCCCAACAGAATTTTATTCAAATATGGTAAGCAATTGCATTATTTCTAAATGTCACAAAGAATTTCCTTATTTTTCTAACTAACAATGAATATACTATTTTTTTCTTTTTTTCTCTATAATGATAATAGCAAATAAATGCTTTCCTTCATCATATTTTAATCATTTTTGACAAGCATAACTAAAATATTACTTATGAATAATTTAATATTTACATAAGAAATCTATTGTTGATTTTATGTCATTTAAAGTATGATACATATTAATGTAATTTTTCCAATAAAGTTTAGAGAAAGGCAAATTTTGTACTGCTGTCTTTTTACCCACAAATAGACTTTCTATCATTAAAGCTTTATAAATTCTAAATTACAGTCAACGATTTTATAATTTATCAAGTATATGTCTACTTTAAATACGCATTTTATTTATTTTTCAAAAATTTAGAAACAATGCAGTAAAACATCATCTTCCTACCTCATGAAAATTAAATTTTTAAAAATAAATTTAAATTTAAAAATTAATTCTATATGCTTAATATTTTTTTAAAAATCTTTTATTCAGTTTTTTAAATTAAACAGGCAATCTTTTGTAGAAGCTTATAAATTATAATTTAAAAATTTCAATGAAAAGGTAAGGAAAATATATTTTATAGATTTTTTTTTTCTCTAAAGAAATCCTGGCTGAAAAGGATGAAAAATGGTCAAGTAATAAGTTTTTCCACCCTTCCTTAAAGCTAATTTAATTAAATAAGTAGGCCAAATAAAAATTTATGTTCTTTCTTAGTTCAATAATAATTTTTTTTAATTTTTTTTATTTTTAATAAGTCTTTTAGGACTGTAAAATACCATTGTATTTTCCGACTTTTATTGAACACGCAATAATGCAGACGTCCAGACCAGACTATTGGCGCCATTGAGTTCGAATTAATTGGATGAATAAAACCATGTGACTATAGTTGCAGATTTGTAACAATATATATTATAATAAAGCATATTGAGACTAAAATCTTAGCTATTAATAAAGTTTGTAATACAGTACACTTTAATAGGATTAAATGTCTCGCTTATACAACGCTTTAATGATAGGACAGGTGTAAGTTGTTTTATTTTTACTTTATCTATAACCATCTGGCATATGGTGTGACGCAAGATCTTTTTTTTTTTTTCTTATCGTTATTATCATTACTATAAAAGCTTTTAACCTATCCTCGCCCTGATTGTGTTTTAACCTCTTTAAAAAAAAATAAAATAAAGATAAAATTTGCTTTTTAAAAAAAAATTCAAAAGTAACAACTCATTCAATACCGAAAAATATGTCAGTTACATTTCGAAAATTAATCATTTTCATATTAACAATCGATAAAAACGTAACAATACAGCATGACGCAACAATATATTTATAGAAATATTTTTTTAAAAATTGAAATTGATTAATTTCTGAATTTTGTTTTTTTTTTCTTTTGTTGAAAAAAAAAACACAAATGCGATTTTAAAAGAAAAATCAAAAAGTATAACAATGTATTGATTTTGTCTGTTGGTAATTTTACATTTTTCTTCATTACTAATTTTTTTTATTACTTTTTTTTGATTTTTAAACGTTATCATCTCGTTATTTATTGGAGTTTTGAGAGAGAGACAAGGTTTTCGAAAGTGTAGAGGACGTATATTTTCTTGTGTCTTTTCTAGAAAAGACAGATTTGCAGAATAGCAAAGGCAAGTATAAAGTGAAGCAGCGACCTAGTTACTGATAAAAATATCTTCGAATAATCCGTGTAAAGGACAGGAAGTGTCTATATAAATGATAGTAGAAGCTAAAACAAGATGTAAGCAAATTAGGATAAATGTTCGCATTTCGGATCAAAATCAATACTTAGACACAACGACTACGACTTAACCCTGGAACTGCATTCATTGACAAGAAAAATAAGCGATATTTTATAAAATATATAATTAATATACTCACTTCTACGTAAGCCAACGCATGATGACTGCATATAGATATGAGAAGAACAAAAATCGAGATGGAAAACAACCACATTTTTGCTTCAAAGAAGTCTTTCGAATGATTTCGCATTCTCCTTCGCCCCTGACAACAGCATCAACGTCTATACTAGTGACGTAGTTAACCTTTTATGTTGAGAGATACGATTGGGTGACGTTCGCCTTTCTCGACTAATAACGTGAAGCGTAACAATTATGCGCTATAAGTAACGAGCATGCGTAGTGGATGGTTCGATGTTATGCGGGAAAGCCGCCGTTCTTCTTGTTAAGGTGGCTGCGCATCCTTTTTTCACCATCTGTTGCATCTTTCTACTAAAATTCGTGAGTTATATCATAATGATTTATTTATGATTGTTTTCTTCTGACTGTTTAACTTGTTTCTTACCTTATATTTTATTAATAAACAAAATACAACACGAGTTTATATCATAAGTCACATTTATCTTTCATATATATATATATATATATATGTTTATTTAATATTTTGAAGA